TTTCAAATCAACGCCTATGCTCTGCATACAATCCATGCATTACAATACAACTATTTTTATAATTTATTATTATATACTACATCTATATTCTTATATAATACTTTGTAATAAGTTTTGTTGATTGAAATAGCTGAGCTTGTATAATAACACAAACTGTCATCAAATCCTGCTGCTGTACACTTGCTAAACAGAAACTCTGTGTAAAACACAACAAAGTCAATATTAATGCTCGATTCGATCCAATGAATCAGACGCGCGTCACAAGCAGCGCGCACAAATATCGGATCCAATCCATCAGATTTAGAGCAGTGTTCCTCATGAACGCATGGCACGGTCGATCCAGCACAGGAATGCTCATATTACCCGTTTACAGTGACAGTTTGTTTCTTTCTAACAGATGTGTGAAAGCATGAATGCGCGCTACTCACTCGTTTATTGTGTGATGGTCTGTGGTGATATTCCTTTTCCCGTCTTCTCCAGTCGATCCTCTCTCATTCCAGCTTTTCATTCCCTCTCATTCCAACATGGCTGACGGGCAGAACCCAGCCCACTCCAGCTCCACACACACACACACACACACACACATACACACTCCTCCCAGTCCCAAATGAAAATGAATGAACGTCGCTGGATTCGCGCACCAGACTTTGGCAACTGGCGCCGGAGTAGTCCGATTCGTTTAGCGAATCGATTCGCTCGAACGGTCAAATGAACTCTCTCGCCGATTCTTTTGAATTCAAATGTGTACGATCTTAAAGGGCTAGTTCACCAAAAATGATAATTATGTCCTTGTTCCAAACCCGTAAGACGTTTGTTCATCTTTCGGAACACAAATTAAAGGGTTAGTTCACCCAAAAATGAAAATTAGGCTGCGTTTTACTCACCCCCGATGCGTCCTAGGTGGATATGACTTTCTTCTTTCAGACGAATCCAGTCGGAGTTATATAAAAAATTGTCTTTGATCTTTCAAGCTCTATCGTTGCACTCAATTCGTCTGAAAGAAGAAAGTCATATACACCTAGGATGCATCGGGGGTGAGTAAAACACAGCCTAATTTTCATTTTTGGGTGAACTAACCCTTTAAGATATTTTTGATGAAATCTGAAAGCTTTCTGACCCTAGACAGCAACGCAAAACTGAAATGTTCCCAGGTCCAGAAACGTAGTAAGAATGTCGGTAAAACAGTCCATGTGACATCAGTTGCTTTTTGTGCGCAAAGAAAACAAAAATAACATAATTTATTCAACAATTATTCTCCCAGAGTTACCGTCTTCCACCATTTTGGAGATCACCAGGACGCAATTATTCTACATTAACTGAAATAATAATGAATAATCGCGAATCAGTTTATTCAGATCGGGACTTCAAATCGCGTATCGCGAATCAGTTGATTTAGGTTGGGACTTCGGAGCAGATTCGCGAATCATTTGATTCAGATTGGAATTTCGGAGCTGGTTCGCGAATCATTTCGTGAATTGATTGATTGCGATCTGCGCTCCGAAGTCATGATCTGAAACATTGGTTCGCGAATCATTATTCAGATAGGACCTCTCGGATCACAAATCATTTGATTTAAATCGGAACTCGGAGCGGGTTTGCAAATCTTTTGATTCAGATTGGGACTTTGGCGCTCGTATTGCAAATCTTTTTTCTGAGTTCTTTTTTTATTAAACAGTATAAAAAATATAAAACTAGACAGTACAGAACAAAAACAAACCAAAGAAAAAATAAAGTACACACAAATACAAACCTCTTAAGAAAATTAACCATGATTTTACTTTAGTATATTATCTTCTTCCTAAACAGGCTTCACTTGAGCGATTGACAAACGTTTTGCGAAACGGTTCGATCGAATCATTCCGAGGAATCGGTTCAAAAGATAGATTCGTTCGCTCACTGGGCAAACACGCCTGGATACAATGGAGTAGCCCAACTATGAATGACTCTCATGAGTTCAACAGTGGAATTTTGTGTTTGTGGTCTCTAAAGGGTCTCAGTGTCCATATAAAAAATATCAAACTAGACAGTACAGAACAAAAACAAACCAAAGAAAAAATAAAGTACACACAAATACAAACCTCTTAAGAAAATGAACCATGATTTTACTTTAGTATATTATCTTCTTCCTAAACAGGCTTCACTTGAGCGATTGACAAACGTTTTGCGAAACGGTTCGATCGAATCATTCCGAGGAATCGGTTCAAAAGATAGATTCGTTCGCTCACTGGGCAAACACGCCTGGATACAATGGAGTAGCCCAACTATGAATGACTCTCATGAGTTCAACAGTGGAATTTTGTGTTTGTGGTCTCTAAAGGGTCTCAGTGTCCATCTGAGAGAGCACATTGCTCAAGAAGTGACTGTTTTCCGTGTCTGAATAGAGCAGCTGTTCTATTCTATTCACTTTGAGAATATGAACTATGGAAATTCAGTGATAGCAAATCACTGAATCACTTTGGAAAGTCATACCAAATCAATTAATGTTTGGCGTGGCAAGTAATGACTATTGGGTTGTGCTTTGGGTTTTAAAAAGACTTTATTCAGCAATTTATTTCATTTTCACGCCCTGAGGCGTCTCATTCTTGTGTGGTTACTGTACTGATAGCTTTTCATGATCATATGATTGTTGCTCCTTTAATCATGAAGAGCTGATCCCAGATCAGCATATAAACCATAAACATAATCATCATGAGTGAAACCGCATCTGTTTGATCTCAGATCAGCAGAACTTTGGCTTTGCTGACTTTTATAATCATGTTCATAAAATAAAAGCATTATGGACCCACCTAAATGAGTCACGTCTAGGCAGGAGCGAGTTCTCTGAAAATCCCCTTACTGATGAATCGATCAGATCACAGCTGAAGGAGAGACTTTCATCTAGTGAATGTGATTCCTCTCTCTTTTACTGCTCATGTCACCAGCACCTGTTCCACAGAAATCTGACTCCTCTCTTCTTCCTCTGGTGGGAATTTAACTCCTCAATTCTGTTCAACCTGGAAATGAACTCTGAACAATGTCCAAACATAAAGAGCATTCACACAAGACAAATATTAGTTCATAGATAACAACATCAAACAAACATCCGGTTGTAAATCATAAAAAGAACATTAAAGTATAGGAGCTTCTGAACTTCTGCAGGTTTCAGGAAGTTTAGGACTGATTCTAAAAAATACAAATAAAAATAAAAATATTAGCATTTAATTAAGAATTTTACACTTATTCAAATAATATTGTTCTCAAAACTATAAATAATGCCAAATGTTAATATACATTAATAATTACAACATATTTTCACATTCATATTTTCTGTTTGTTAATTCAGTTGATTTAGAAGTAGAATAATTTAAAAGAATGAACAATTTGTTCTCAAATCAGACATTACCAAAACAAAGTAATATAGTATTTTAATTGTCAATTGTTGAGCGTAGCAAACGTGTCCACTGAGTTAGTGTTATTATTACAGTTTTTGTTAATATTTTGCATTTAAATTTTATTTTTATATTTTGTTAATATTTTGCATTAAATTTTATTTTTTATATTTTCTGTTTTTACTTTTTAGTTAATTAATTGAACTAGAATTTTTTTTAAAATTGTAGTAATTTAGTTGTTTTTGTAATTTTCATTAGTTTTTAAATGTCTATATAGTTTTTATTAATTTTTATTTATTAGTTTCAATTTATTTAGTTTTGGTTATTTTAGTACTAAAAATGAAAATGAGAAATGTTGCCTTAGCATCTAGTTGAAATAAAATTAGCTTAGGTTTTTATATATTTTATTTGATTTCAGTTAACGTTTATTTCAAGTGACTTTTCTTATTTATTTTATTTGTTATTATAATTTTTTTTGTATGTTTTAGTTTTAGATAATTATAATAACCCTGCTATTATAGATCAGTCATCTATAAAAGACCTGCATAAAGAAAAGATCAGAAAAAAAAGTGTTTTATAGAACAAATACAGCATGCAGATGTGAAATTACATGAGGGTTAGTAAATCTAAATATTACTACAATTTTTGTGCAATCCATATTTTTACATTTCTGTTATCTCTCTTTCACTTTAAAAAAAATAAATAAAAAAAAGACTAACAAATGTTTACAAATAGAGAGGCATAAAATAAGAGTGGTATATCTGTATATCGCTGCTCTTTAGGTCAGTGTTCGTCAGATGAATGATCACAGCTGCCCATAATTCCTCAACACACTGAGAGGTTCAGACGGGATTAAACGCCATGACTCCTGATCTCTGGAGATGAAGATTACAAACCATAATCTCACTCCACAGATGGACTTCACGGCCTTCAGCGGCTCTCAGCGAAGCGAAACATGTCGCTGCTCTCCTGAGACCTCGATACGAGAAAATAACACTAGAGTGTTATAACAAAACACTGCAACTGCAACAGACTGAATCAAGAGTCTCTTTTTTCCCATATTTTTGTGCAACTAAAAACATTTGGCCATAATATAAATGCTCATGATACATGCCATGTATAGCAAACTTTCATACTGCTTACTAGTATGTATACCGTGCACAGTGTGCTATTTTTCTGTACAACCAGCTTCATTTGACAAAATATGCAATGTGCAACCAGAGCAAACTAAATATTATGCAATATACCACAATGCAATGTGCTCAGTGCCATTTTTATCATTTGTTCTTGACTCATTATTTGATCACACTGCCAAAAGTGCAGACATTTTTACACATAAATAATTTAATAGTAAAATATTAATACATTTCTATTATATGTATAACTAATACTTTTTTAATAATTTTTATTCTTCTGATAAATAGTTGGAGTCATGAGGAAGTTTGTCTTTTGCATATTGTTTCACATTATATATATATATATTTCATTGAGTCGATCTGCATGAGAAAGAGAAGACTCTGCTGTCCTCTAGTGGTGGATCAAAGAAAGACTACAAAGTTTAAGCCAACAGAATTTTATGAATATATACAATAAATACACACATTTAATCTAAAATGATCATCTAAACGCCAGTCTTCAAAATGACATTTATAAACAAACGCAGAAGTGAAATGTTTCAATATAAAACCATTATGGCCATTAAAATGGATTTTGCATAGATATAGATATAATACACGATAAACTATTTACAAAAGTTCTTGATATGAAACCTATGAATGCAGACAGTAACTCAGTCATATTCATTCATAGTCATATGGCATTGAAAACTTACTCTTCAATGAGCCTTATTGTTCCTTTACTGAAAAGTTATGCATCCTGGACTACTATTATTATAAGAAAAGTAGTGTTGGAGAGTATTTTCATATTTCTAAAATGCCACCAGGTGTTCATTATTCATTTATGACCATGTAATCAAACAATTATCCCTTTAAAAATTCACAAATTCATACAAATGTGTTTTCACATGTATAAAATACATGCACTTCATAAAGCGAGTGCGCAGTGAAGCTAACCGGCCTGTAACGCAGTTAAAACATCTTAAAACAAGACTTTGTGCACTAATAAACATTTACACTGGCACGTTTCATCTCCATTAGTTTGCTGTTCTTGGACTTGAACTCATTAAATAACAGTCCAGAGGAAATCCTTCATCATAAATCATATTCAGACATGAACGAAATACATAAATAGTGATATAACACTGAAGAATTCATAATAAATGTAGTGTAGAAGTGTCCTTCCCTTCCATATTTACATTTCATATTCATGTAACAAGCAAATTAACGCTCAAATGATATATGAATGTGAGAATTTGCATGATTTGGCTGTAAATGGCCACTGTTTTTCATCTGGCAGTGTGTGTTTGCACGGCGTTTCTTCATTTACACTGTGCATCTATGCATTTATGGTCATGCATGGTCTCTTATTTTTGAAGATATGCTTCACTTGTCTATAAATGTTCATATCTGATTGAGAAATTGTGTTTTGTAAGGCTGAACCGGATCATACGTTCCGGCTGGTTTCTACTCAACTTTCCAGATGGCGATTTTGCCATCGGCCCGCGCGGCTCCGCTGAGCACGTAGCGATCTTCAGCCGAGCACAGAGTCTGAACGCTGTCGTCGTGTGCCATCAGCTCCTTCTCCACCGTGTATCGATCCGTGTCCACCACGTAGATCTTCCCGCGGGTCTTCCCCTGGCAGCCCACCCAGATCTGAGACCAGGAGAGATTTTAATTGCATTCTGTATCTTCTAATTACATTTTGACAGATGAGCGTGAGCGGTGTCTCACCTGGTTCTTGACTCTGATCATGCAGACGACACCAGCGCAGTCTTTGAGCTGGATCCTGATGAAGGGTTTGTTCAGGTCTCTGCAGGGCCACACACACAGCTCACCTGCGTCTGCAAAACCCGCCCACAGCTGCTCCGACTGCAATCACATTCCCATCACAAGTCAATTAAGAAGACTCACTTTTTCATATTAAAATGCATAATACTTTATATAAGTATTATCTTAAAAGGGAGATTATGGCTGCTGTCTGGTGGAAAACAGATGAAAAATCACAAACATTTACTTGGAGCATTAAGGAACTAGGGCTGCTCAATTATTGCAAAAAAAAAATCACAATTATTATAATTAATACTGAGATCAGAATGACTGTATTTAACATGATTACTTGTTGATTCATTTATTTAATAAAAAAAAAACTAAAACAAGTCCTTTTGACAATGGATTTCCTTTCACTTCCAAACTAAAAAACACACACACACACACATATATATATATACACAATGCTGTCCTTTTAAACTTTCTATTCATCAAAAAAAAAAATCTTGAAAAATAAAATGTATCACAGTTTCCACAAAAATATTCAGCAGCACAACTGTTTTCAACACTGATAATAATCAGAAATGTTTCTCAAGCAGCAAATCAGCATATTAGAATGATTTCTGAAGAGCATGTGACACTGAAGACTGCAGTAATGATGCTGAAAATCCAGCTTTGATCACAGCAATAAATTACATTTTACAATATATTCACATAGAAAATACACTTATTTTAAATTGTAATAATATTTCACAATGTTAATGTGTTTGACTGTATTTTTGATCAAATAAATGAAGCCTCAGTGGACATAAGAGATTTTTTCAAAATCAGTCAAAATCGTACAAACCCTTTACTAAAATTAAGCAAATAAATAAATCAGTCAAATAAAATTTGCTATGTTGTAGTGCACTTCCACAACCTACCTAAAACCGTGCAGTAATAAAAAATAAAATTTGAATAAATTTTCAGTCCTATTAGGAACCATCTAGCAACCACCCAGAAGACCCTAGCAACTTTTTCTGAATCACTTTTCTTGGAAACGATCAAAGCCGGTCACATCAGAGAGGCCAGAGACCCATTAAAACAGCCTCACACGTGTGATCCATTAACTGCTCACTCGCTGCGCTAATGAGTGCTGAAGTCCAGCTGGATGGACACGCAGAGAACCGGACGAGCTCACGGCCTCCTTCAGAATCTGTGATTTTTACCTCGTGAAAGAGCAGAAAACTGCTGAAGCCCCTCGGTGAACTCAGCAGGTGATCTGGAAGAGACACCTTACGATGAACCGTGCCGTTCCTGCGCACTTCCAGCAGACAATCACGACCACCTTTAATACAAAAAAATCAGTTACGCACTCAAATTATTTTATTTAACCAAATGGAAATTAAAGTTTACATTTTTTTCTGAAAGTGAAAATACAGGCTGCGTCCGAAAGCCTAGGCAGCTGACTTGCTGCCTCTCTGCCTTATGAGGCAATGACTTTGCAGGCAGCGTTTTTGCACGAAGGCACCTCATGAAACTGATTTCGGACAGGCTTCTGAGGCAGCATAACGGTTTAATGATCTACAACAAAATAGAACAAGTTTTGATGACAACTAAATGAATATTTAATTATTATAATACTGATTTCTCACTAGAAATAACATCAAAAGTGCAAAAAGTTAGTCAGAAACATACATTTAAACAGAAACTGACCACCAAACGCAACTTTCAGACACCATCTTTATTTTTTTATCTCAACCGTCACGGAATGGAACGCATAGGATTGTGGGATATCAAAGGCAGCGAAGGATACATCTATGCTGCCTTCAAAATTCGATCAGAAGAAGGTACCTCCAGAGACAGGAAGTGAAGCAGAATTTGGATTCGGACGTGCCTTGATGCCTTCCTGCCTTGGAATGCTGCCTCCGAAGACAGCATTTTAGTGCTTTCGGACACAGCCACAGTTTATAAAAAAGGAGTTGCATATAAACATTTCGGTTGCCAAAATTTGAGTTAGAATATAATAGAAACGTGCATTGGTAGCAGTATGTGAGGCAGACTTACAGCACCACAGCATGCCGTTATGGATCTGGATGCACTGCAGTCTGTCACAGGAGACTCTGAACTGCCGTCTGACCTGCAGCGTCGTAACGTCCCACACGATCACACTGCCATCTTCACTGCACGAGTACGCCACCGTCTGACTGCAGGCAACAAATTCAATTAACATCAATGTCTAGGTTTGGAGAAATTTAGCATTGTGTCATTGGCCCACGCAGTAAATGGGTGCCGTCAAAATGAGAATCCAAACAGCTATCTTTAATTAGTTTTAACTTTAAACTGTTGCCAAAATACAAGTCCTCTATCCATATGCATCTGCTCCAAAACACATTTTTCCTCTTCTTCGGATCAAGCTCGGTTTACAAGCAAAACAGTCCAAAACAGCTCTAAATATATATGTTGGTGGATTTTGATGAAAGAGACAACAAGAGATGGACTTTTTCACTGGGGGAAGCGTTATTATTATGGATTCATATTTTGGACAGATGCGACGTTTTAAAGTTAAAAACATCTTAAAGGGGTCATAGGATGCTACATGCACTTTTACAAGTTGTTTGAACTGAAATGTGTGTTGGCAGTGTGTGAATCTGAAAAGAGCTGTTTTTGACGGTAAAAAAAAGGTGTTTTTACACTACCATTGAGAAATTTTAACCAAACTATGTTACAGACTTTTCATTAAGACCCTAAAGAATCATATCAACTTGTGGAAAATGGGCATCATATGGCCCCTTTAAAGATGGATTTGTTTCTTAGAAACGCACAGCTTTTCACTTCTCAGGACATTAACTGATGGATTGGAGTGGTGTGGATTACTGTGATGTGATGATTATTGTGATGTTTTTATCAGCAGTTTGGACTCCCATTCTGACGGCACCCATTCACTGAAGATGGAATACTACATTTCTACAAATCTGCTCCCATTAAGAAACAAGTTCATCTACATCATAGATGGCCTGATTTTTAGGTGAACTATTCCTTTAATGACTGTCCTGTTTTGTCTCTGTTACCTGAATTTGTCAGTTCTCTCCTCCAGGGTGAGTCCGGTGACCTCGCCACGGTGCTCTGTCAGTTGTTTATTGCAAGAAACGCTCCGCGGGTTTATGATGTAAATGAACGAATCCGTTGAGCCGATCCACAGCTGCTGCTGGTTCACTGCCAGCATGCAATTCTGAGAGGAGTGAAATGAAGCGTGTGTTCATACAGTGAACAGCAGGGGGCAGCACTACTATGAAAACTATAAAGTGCACTAATATTTTCCAACATCCTAGTAATGTGGTGAAGTCAAACAAAATGCCAAATTCATAGTCATATATCTGGGATGCAGGGTAATGGAGCAACGTTTTGTTTACGTGCACGAGCATTTTTTTTTGTATCATTATTGCTGTAATGTTGTGGGGAAAATGTGCTGAATTGTCACAAAGTAAAAATTCTTAATGCTTTTAGATAAAGCAAGTTGATTACAGCCTACAGTTATACTAATAAACTATATTAGTTGTTTTCTTCTCATTATTGTACTTTTTTTTTTATTAAGCATTGTCCTTTCTGTTTCTGTCTAATTTCCTCCTGAAACTCCCAAACAGCCTCTCATGTCTGATAAGGAGGTGATAAGTGTGAGGCAAGGAAACAGAGTACGTCATCACTGAAGGTCATTTTTTATATCTAGAGAGGTTTCCTCACCAGACGGGACTTTCCCACTTGAACAGAGTTGTGCTGCATGGACCAGCTGGCCGCGTCGAACACCAGCACCTTCCCATCGCTCAAAGCGCACCACAGCTTTGGGTTTCCTCCACCGTCCAGCTCCGAAACGCCCAGCTGACCTAAAACACACACACACACACACAGTGCTTACCGGACGAGTCTCTGGCTTTCATAACAGTTCAGTTTCCTTCTGAACGGTGGTAAAATCCTCCCTGCTGTGTCACAGACCCCTCACCACAAAACGTACACAATCTGAGGGAGGATGTGTTTCTACATACACTGAGTGAGATCTACATATGTGCTAAACGTCTGTCCTGTGACGCATAAGATGAATATCACAAAAACACGACAAGATCTTTTGTTCTCCTGTTCTCTCTCTCAGATGAGCTGCTGTTTATCCCCTTCATGTTTATTTATTTATTTTTTGTACTTTTTATTAGTAGTAGCAGTATTTATTTTTTATTATGATTTAATCTATTTGTTATATTGTATATTATTTACTGATAAAAACTAATTAAAATTAATTAAAAAAAACATGACTAGATCATATTTCACAGAAAAATTTAAATTAAATTAAATAAATAATATAGAATAAAAATGTAAAAAATGAAATAGATGTATCTATCTATCTATCTATCTATCTATATATATATATATATATATATATATATATATATATACATAATTAAAAAGAAATTAGAAAAAATATATAAATTATATATCTATATACAACTATATCTATATAATAAAATTATACATAAACATGTAATATAATAAAAAGATTTATTAAAGAGATTTATGCTTTGTATAAATAAAATGAAGTGTATTTTTAGGATCAATACTATTTTGGTATTGTGGCATTATTCTCATAACTAAAAATTATTATTAATGTAATAGAATGTTTTTTTTTTTCATTTAAATGAGCATGAATTAAAGGCAGTACAACATTATGTATAAATGCTTCACAAAATGAACAATATATCTTTTTATGTATTACAGTAATGACAATTTTGGGGGAAAATATGCATAATTGTCATTACGTACAAAATCTTAATACTCCTAAAAACAAGCTTTCTTTATGCAAGATATAACGTCTTATTTCTTTCTTGTGATTTTGTGGTGGAATATGACCTGTAAGTGTTTATGGCAGGTTTTAAGAGATCTTTTACAGTTTGTCACTCACTCCTCAAGCGTGTAAAGAAAGCGTGTGACTTTTGTCATTACGTTCAGCTGGACCAACAGGAGCAGGACAGTGTTTTTACGTTACGCAACAGAAATAATAAAGTATTGTGATTCTTATCAAAGTCATATGACCATTGATCTACAGCTGATAGCAGTGAAACATAACAAATCAAAAACACATAGATAGGACACAGATTATGTCATAGTCCTGTCTTGGACGAAATTTGCTTGGTTTTAAAGTGCATTCTTCAGAATTAATAAATATATATTTATTGGTCTTAATCTAAATATACTGTATATATATATATAATAACCATACTAATAAAAGCATCTCAAATGCAACTTTGAAAAACTAAATAAATATAAACAATAAAAAACAAGAAAATATATCTTCAGATGCATTTAAAAATGTGAATTTCCAGAGTTTGTTTAATTTGAACCAGTGAAAGATTCCAAATGTTTATGGCATGAACAGCTGTTTTTGATTTCTTGTGGTTCTGAATGTATTTTGAAATCACACTCAAATAACCCCATAACCTGACCTGGAGTCATGCTTGTGTAGCTTTGTTACGCCTTTAACAAACATAGTAAAGAATTAAGTGCTTCAGATTAGGTTTGTGACGGTGAGGACATTTTCCCACCGGTTAATCGACATGTGACAACACCGGTAATACCGGTATCACCGTGGGGGCGGGGGCGTTCCCTCTTTTCCTCGCTTTCCTTCACTTTTAAATAGCTTGTAAAAGCGGCGTGCACATTTTACTTTCACTTTCAAATAGCGGCAATTCGGCATAAAGCAATTGTTCGTTTTTAGTTCGTTTGAATTTCCCCTCTTTTCCTTGCTTTTCATTCGCTTTTAAATAGCTTAAAAGCACCGTGCGCATTTTACTTTCACTTTTGAATTAGCGGCAATTCGGCGTCAATTGCTTGAATGCAACAACAAAATACAATGTCAAACTCACTTTAGCCTATATATAAAACATAGAACTTTTATTAACAAAACAAATACAAATACATCATGCGATAGGACAGGCTATGCCTAATATAAAATAACAAATAACTTACATAAAGTTTAAATAGGTATACAAAACTGGAAATAGGCTAAGTAAACATGTATAATATATAACCAAATAAATAAGAAACGTAGAACGTTTATTAGCAAAACGAGTAAGAAAGCTTGAAGGCAATGGCATACACCTTGATGTCAAATAAAATAAATAAATGACACAGTTTAAATAAAGTAAAAATCAGCAAACAATGTGGAACCAATTAAATAAGAAACGAATGTTTAAAAAAACTTCCAAAATCACCTTAGATAAACGGCAAAAGTCAACAGGCTTTTCAAAATCCAAAATATTGCCAAACAGGCGCTTTTGCATCTCGTTTCGAAACTAAATCATCCGCGATCGTCTTGTCTGTCTCACCTCACTCTTCTTGTCAGTCAGCTCGACTCGCTGGATAAATGAAATCTGATCTGTGATGCGACTGTCGTTTGGCACGCTGCATTGAGCAGCCGCGTTCAGTTTTTAATTGTAGTGTCTGTTCTTTTACTGAACTAAATTATTTTTATTACTATAAAAAATCAAAACGACAGTGGGGCTCGGTGCTGCGGTGGGCAAGTGACGTAACCGGTGTTGCGGCTTAACAACACCGTCAGCACAGTCTATCGCCGCAAGCCTACTTCAGATCCTTCAGATCCCTGAACAAAAGTTTGTGCTTCACCCAGTTTTCACATTAATCACTTTAATCATGAGTCTCTGTCCCGGATGAGTCCAGTGAGGGGAAATATGTCGTAATCAAACACGGGAAGGAAATAAGTCAGCATGGAAACTCTGCCCTGGGCAGTTTCTACAAAACTGATTTGTAAGCCTGTTCTTCTCCAAGCTTGCAGGATCGCACAGAAACACGTGAACAGATGACAGAAGTAACACACTAGCCGTCTGCACAACACCAGTGACAGGTTTGTGGAAATACCAGGTCAAACTGCTTGATCTGGGTGAGAGAAACTTGAAAGTGAAAGCCACTTTGATATGAAACAGATATCCGTTTGGCTTTGCTCTTTGTCTTTTTTAGACAAATGAATACTGCACACTGTGTGTCATTCTTTATTCTGCTAAACACAAAAGACGCTCAGCAGACCTACCAGGCGTGTAGAGCAGGACGTCCACGGCCTGAGGTGACGTCTGGTCCAGAGACGGGTTGATCTTGTGTTTCAGGGTCTCAGATGTTGTTTTAGGGACCATCATGGGGACTGTAATAAACCCAGAGACAAATACAGTCACTAAATTCTGTCCACTGTCTGTGCTGACGCTTAATAAGGTGAAAATCACAAAAAACACAACTAGATCTTTTGTTCTCCTGTTCTCTCTCTATGATGAGCTGCTGCTTATCCCCTTTGTGTTTATTTTTTAATTTACTTTTTATTAGTAGTAGCAGCAGTATTTATTTTAAATTATATTCTGTGTGTTATTTTGTATGTAATTTACTGTTAAAAACAAATGAACATTCATTTAAAAAAAAACATGACTAGATCATATTTCACAGCAAAATTTAAATAAAATAAAATTTAAAAAATCTATATATCTATATAATTAAGTAGAAATGAGAAAAAATATAAATTACATATCTACAGTATATAATTATAGAACTATATCTATATAATAAAATTAATTAATTAATTTTTTATATAGACGTTGTTTTAGGGAGCATCATGGGCACTGTAATAAAACCAGAGACAGATACAGTCACTAAATACTAAAATGGTAATTTATCACACACTGTTGGTGACGTATACAATGCCGTCTTTGTAGATTGCTGTTTTTAGGTCCAACTAATGCCTTCAGACTGCTCATTTATAGCAAACAATCTCAATATTGAGATCACAATGATTACAAATTTACACATTACATAATTGGTCATTTTCTTTGAAACCATCATGCATTTATTGAACTAAAAATAAAACTCTTTTTAACAGTGCATTTTACTTTAAATAAAATTGAAAAACAAATAAAAGAAACATTTTAATAAATAAATAAAGTAATATATAAAAATATATGTAATTGATTTAAATGTATGCATACATACACACAGAGTAAAATAAATATTATGAAAATAAAAATAAATTATATAAAATAATAATAATTACATACATTAATCACGATTAATTACAAAAAGTGTAATTAATTACATTTTTTAATCAATCTATATATATATATATATATATATATATGTATATATATATATATATATA